CTACCAATGTCTATTACTTCTCTCTCTCTCTCTCTCTCTGTCTCTGTCTCTCTCTCTCTCTCTCTCTCTCTCTCTCTCTCCAAGGTCGTCATCATTAATGTATGATGGACGGACTATCACAGCAAATTATAGGCAAGTTCCCCGCTGGGGAAGCATTTTTTGGCTAAAACAGCACCTGGACATGGATCGCTGGTGCCTCTATAAATAAATTATTGATGGTCAGGATGAATTATAGGTGATTTCCAGGTTGAGAACCATAGATACAGGGTGCATGGAAGTGGAACCAACTTAGAAAAAGAATATTAGTTCATCCACAGACAGGAAAAAAGAGGTTAAAACAGAATCTGGGCATGGCTGGCTGGTCCCTCTATAAATTAATAAATTATTTGTGGTCAAGATCAAGGTCTAATAACTGTTGTAATGACAATCGTGAACTAAGAAGTAAAAACAATCATTTCATAGAACACCTGACATTTTGCTACCTCAGAGTTACAAAGTTCTATCTGCTCAGTACCTAGTTTGGATAAATTTGACGTCAAATATTGTTGAGTTTTACATCATATTAAAAAAGTTTTTTACCCTCTAGCATACGGCTTTTGTCAGAATGAGCATAGATGTGTGTGGCTCTTAGAGTGTATAGCTATATAGAACACCAAAGATCTTGTATTTAAATTCCTGCGTGTGGTTGAATGATGCATTTGATGTGAATGTACATTCTGTCAGTTTACTTCTCTTTTCATATTGAATTTTAATGAGAGTAACACAATATAATGAAATTTTTAAAAATGTATACCTGCATGTGTTTTACGGTCCTGTACAGCCAAGAAAAATTTCCCTCTGGGATAATAAAGTATTATCGTATCTTATCTTATGTCAAGCTTTTTCGAATTCAATTCTTTGAATATCTTGACAACGACTCCGAATAATCTTATGATTTTGACAAAGCATACAGAACATTATTTTGGTTTCTGACCTCACGATCTTAAACTCGGAACAAAACGGTCAACAATGTCAGATAGAACTTCCTAATTCTAAAGTAACTAATCGACTTCTTTTTGTGAGATAACTATGGAGACCTGTTGAAAGAAGGCGTTCTGGGATTCTGAGCAATAATGTGTTAGCATAATTACATAATAATATTGCTATTAGATTTTCACTTATTGGTCTTTTTTTTAAGCACATAGTTTGTGTCGCGTAACGCGGTGGAACAAGGCTCTTGTCCATTAAATTAAAAAAAAATATTTTTGGCATTTCGGATTAATGGTATCATCTTATATCTTGTTTATGAAGCTTGCTTTAAGTTTTTTTTTAAATGTCCATTTCTTTTGAATAGAAGTTGAGATAGATGCGAAAAAAAAACCCCCAACAACAAAAGGACAAATTAAAAAGGTACCACCACCAACAATAAAAAAACAACAAAACAAAACACAATGTTGGGCTCACTACACCTGAGGAGCTGACCGACAACACAATAAGATATTACATGTATAACTGATCATCATGGTTTTCTCCCCAGATTCCTATCGGAGACGGACGAAGATCCTCAGAACCGACAATGACAAGGTGAGATATGATGCACATTTTTTCTATAGCGCCAACTCCCCTTCAATGAATGGTCTCTTTTAAGCACAAGGGGGCTATCCCGAAAAATGCTGTTTTGAGAAAATCGAAGGTAAAGTTTTTGCCCCTTGTTCAGTTTCTTTAAAAAGACACGATGGGGTTTCTCTATGACCAAACAAATATACACACCAATGTAACCAAAAATACCCTGTAGGTAGGGCAATGCCCACTTTTGGTGTAGGTCAAGATTTCTGGAAACCCCCAAAATCTGGGTTAGCCCGCTTGTCCTTAATGGCGACCAAATACAGTTTGAGGCGCTTCACAGTACCTTAATTTTAAAATAAAAATCATTTCTATAGCCCCAATTCAGGTATAATATAACTCTAAGCGCTTCACAGTACCTTCATCTTAACATAAAAATAATTTCTATAGCGCCCACTTCAGCAGTACAATATATATCTAACCCTTCACAGTACCTTCATTTTAACATAAAACATTAATTCTATAACACCCACTCACTTACAAAACAGACATTTCTAAGCACTTCACTGTACACTCAGCTTGATATAAAAATCTTTTCTATAGTGCCCACTCCAGTACAATATATCTCTAACCCTTCAGAGTACCTTCATCTCAACATAAAAATCATTAAAATTTCTATTGCGCCAATTCCAGTACAACATCTCTGACCCTTCACAGGTACCTTCATCATGTCTCTAACCCTTCGTGTACCTTTATCTTAACATTAAAAAAATATTCAATAGTGCCCACTCCAGTACAGTGCATCTCTAGGAGCTTTAAAATACTTTCATCCTAACATAAAACATTAATTCTATAGTACCCACTCACAAAACAGCTCTAAGCCCTTCCGTGTAGCTTCATCTTATCGTAAATCATTTTTATAGCGCCAATTCCAGTACAACATATCTCTAGCCCTTCACATTGCCTTCATCTTAACAGAAAAATCGTTTCTATTGTGTCCACTTCAGTACAGTACATCTCTTAGAGCTTTACTATACCCTATTCTCAATATAGAAGGCTCGTGCATACATAGATATATGCTCTTTATATTAAAGCTAACACAAGCAGACAATCATACTGTCATAGCTTAATCAATAACGATACATGTATTATTATATAATGCATATGTATGTACACGTGTATGTATATGTGTGTGTGTGTGTGTGTGTTTG